CTCCCCTCTCCCTCATCCCACCCAGAACACCTAAACTCTCTCCATCTGGTTTTATTCAATCTGAAGCAACCCAGTGATCTCCCAAAGTTACAATTAAAAAATAATAAATTAAAATCTCTTTGCGTCAGTGAACTTGGACTCAAAAAGTTCTCTGAGCGGCGAGCCTTTTAAAGACGTGTGTGTCGGACCAGCAGCGGAGTGGCGGCTGCTGAGAACCAAGCTGACTTGGCGGGTGCCTCCTCCTGCGGTGATCCCTCCCTCCAGACCCGCTCCCTCCTTCCCTCCCTCCCTCCCCAAGACTGGTCTCCGCCTCCACCTTCCCCAGCTCACTGGGATGTCTGGCCCAAACAAGGAGGCTGAGGAACTAACAGAGCACAACCACCCGCATCTCTTTCCCCCAACTCCTCCCCCGCCCCCAGAGAGTCCGGCAGCAGTGAGGGAGGGGGACCAAACCCATCCCCCGTCCTACAGCCCTCCTCCCTGCGTGCACAGTGAATCGCACCTTCTAGAGTCCTAACTCAGTTCTGGAGGACCAGCATCCCCCGGATCTGCCCCTCGGGCTGTGGTGGCCCCTGCTACCGGGATGAGAGAGACAGGGACCCGCCCGCGGTGTGCCTTGAGGTGCGCGGAGCTCTCGCCGCGGCGCGCGCTGCCGTGAGTCTGTAAGTTGCGTTGCTCCTCCCGGGGAGAACTAGGGGAAGCCGGTCACAGCACAGCCAGTGACTTCAAAGCCCACGCAGCCCAAGTGCACCCAGCCAGGCTCAAGCCCTGAACTCCACCGCAAGCCCTGCTTGTGTGTCTGATCCTTGTGTTGCAAATTAGTTTCCAGTATATAGTATGATAGGTAGAGAGTGGAGGGGAGGCTAGGTAGGTTGCTTTTAAAAATGCGTCTCGTAAACCCTTCCAATTTAAATCATTCATTTTCAAGTTCAAAAGTACAGCGCTCGGTACCTTGTCAATTACCGTTAACATTTTCTTAAAGAGCAGGAAGCAATTTCTTCGCGGCTACTAAAAATAAGAATTCCTCTTTCTTTACTTTTAACCCTGCTACTTTACTTAACTAACAAGCGGGTAGTCAACCCAGCTGGCTTTAATTTTCTTCCTGACGGCGTGTGCACGTATCCTTGCCTTAATCCCGAGACGCGCTGAATCACAGAATTCTCTTCGAGGCTGTATTTACAGAGAATGCTCTAAGATTTGCATATCTGAGACAAGAGCGCACAAGGGTAACAGGGAAGAGGCAAAAATAATTCCTCTGGCTCTGAAAAGGAAAAAAATTAATTCTCTGGTTCAAAAGTTTTCTCGGGGTTCTCAGACTTCACACACAAACTAGCTTCTCGTTTGTATTGTTGACCACATCTTCATTCAATTTCGCGTGCCACTTCGTGTGTGTATGAAAAGGTATCCCCTATGTACAAGGACCGGAGGCGAGGAAATGAAGTTGGCAGATTTTAATAAGTTTTTTTTTTTTTTTTTTTTTTTTTTTTTTTTTTTTTTTTTTTTTTTTTTTNTTTTTTTTTTTTTTTTTTTTTTTTTTTTTTTTTTTTTTTTGCCGTAGGAGGACGCGCGTGGAAGAAGGGAGTCGCAGGTTCGGGCAGGTGCATAGACAGGCTATGGTGACAGGAAGATGTTGGCCAGGAAGAGCATCATCCCCGAGGAGTATGTACTGGCACGCATCGCCGCCGAGAACCTGCGCAAGCCGCGCATCCGCGACCGCCTCCCCAAAGCCCGCTTCATTGCCAAGAGCGGAGCCTGCAACCTGGCGCACAAGAACATCCGTGAACAGGGCCGCTTCCTGCAGGACATCTTTACCACCTTGGTAGACCTGAAGTGGCGTCACACGCTGGTCATCTTCACCATGTCCTTCCTCTGCAGCTGGCTGCTCTTCGCTATCATGTGGTGGCTGGTGGCCTTCGCCCACGGGGACATCTATGCTTACATGGAGAAGAGCGTCCTGGAGTCCACTGTCTGTGTGACCAATGTCAGGTAAGAATAAAACGGGGTGACGCGCGGGTCGGCAGCAATGTCGAAATAAAAATCTCTTTCATGTAGATGATGGTGAAATAAGGGGTTTTCATTGGACAGTTCAGAAACAAAAACGAAAGCAAATTTGGGGTGCAGGGTAGAGGCCAGCACATTAAAAGTATTTGTGTGTGTGTGTGTGTGTGTGTGTGTGTTTATACCTTTCTGTATTCGGTTGGAGGACTTGATTCAATCTTAGAAAAAGTGCAATTAAAATGTAAGTGCTCTGCACTCGTTTTAAGTCAATAGGCAGTAGGCAGTGCTGTGCATAGGTACCATAAAAATAGCCATGGGGGATTGGACAAGTTTAATGTATGGTCTCTGCCTCACAGAGAAGAGGAGATATAATCACAGGAAACACAAAATATATAAGGCAATATGTTAAGAGATTCAGCAATTTAAATTTAAAGACCCAAAGCTTCATTTTAATTGCAAATTGCATAATTGCATTTTCATGTTTTCCAATAAATGAGAGGAGTTTCTTTCTAAATCACTGTCTTAGAGCAGCTACTTGGCCTGTAAATGTCGTTTGATCGCTGGGTCTCCGAGACTGCTTGACTGCAGTCTTTGTGTTAACCTTGGATGGCTCCAAAAGATTCCAGACTCCCGAAACCTCTGCTCAGTTTCATCATGATTTTTTGCACCATTAAACACCTCCAATCTACCAAAAGTATTGTGCAAACGTGAGAAAAACTTTTACATGAAGTGTCCTTGATTTTAAAATATGCTAACAATAAAATAATTGAAATCAATGTAAGCCCTTCTTTAATATTATTTTAATGTATCTGATAGATTGCTTTAGATTAAAAATGGAAGCTTAAATTTAGCAGAGACATTTTCAGTGAAATTTAGTTCAAGTTTTCACAAAAGGAGCTGAGTAACAAGTGCATATTGAAGACTCCCCTTACAAAACTCCCACAGGGCAGGAACAAGACAGCTTTTCATTACACAAATTTGATCCAGTATTTATGGATGCTTCAAAGACAGCTAAAGTGCCTTTGATTTCTGTGGTTCTCCTTTGGTATTCCCAGGAGACCCAAGAATGTTGCAGTGGGGCAATTTTTTTCTTAATCTGTTTCGTTGGATAGAGATACGATTTATATCAAATGCAGAAATGTCACTGGATAAAAACAGTGGTAATACTGGGAAAATCTCCAGAGTGTTTTCTGAATCATGTTCCAAATCCACACAATTCATCAGACAGAGAAACTGAAGAAGCATCATCCAGGCAGGAAATGGTTAAGAAGGAGACTTTTAGTGGCCCTGGGATCCTATAAAAGATGAATGGTATGGCTGGAAGCAGAGCCTCTCGTGACTTTACCCACTCTCCCCATTGGCCAGGCCAGTGCATCAACAGATCACCTTAGAACACACAGAGATCCCTGCTCAGATTTGGGGAGAACACAATGCACTAGACTGACCCGCAGTTTTACCACTGGGCACACAGAATTTTCTTTTCTCCAGTGTTTGCCTAGGTAACAATGTGGATAAGAAGGCCCAGTGAGCAGAGCAGAGAGATGTGGAGAACAAAGTCCTATGTGTAAAATTTTGAAGTTAATATGTTACTGTCATCCATGTTCTAAGTAACTTATTGGCGTTGGTATGGCTGTGGAGGGTGGTGTATTCAAAGAAGATTCTAGCAAACAGGCAAGAGATCCCGACAAACAGCAATGGGAGAAATAATCATGACAACCTTGAAAACAATTTTACTCAAGACAGTCTATTGTCACTGTCTATGAAAAAGAAATCATTTAGCAAACATATATATATATATAAAAGAGATTATTCTTCCTATGAAGAGATGTTATAGTGTTCACTGGCTCCTAAAAGTTTTTTCTTGTTACTTCCCATTTTTCAAACAAGACATTCTGAAGAATATCTACTTCCTAGATGCCTGCCTGCTGGTGTTGAACCACAGGAAATGGTGTCAGAATTACAATGAAGTCAACTTGATTTTATCGGTATAGAACAGTGCCAACTTTTGGATCACACTCCACAGCATTATTTAAAGCTTTATTCTCTTCCTAGAGAACTTAAAAGATGCTTAATAATTCTAATTATTTGAATTTCCATTCCCGTCATAAATTCGGTGTCAGCCGAACTATCAAATTTGGAAGCGATTTTATTCCCCGGCTTTCCTCTAGTGTTTCCAAACACCATGTAATCACTGCCATTTTTTAGGGTGACTTGCTTTCTCCTTTGTGCAGATGACTTTCTAACATGAATCAGAAAGTAGAAACTATGTTCTTTTTCTCATTATTATTCAGCTGATACACCCCCAGCTCCGCCTCCCCTAAATGCTTTCTCTCTTGAGACTGTTTAGCCTGACAGGTGGCCAGAAAAAGATAGGATCTTATACTGGCTAGAGAAATTAAATTCCGTTTTAAAATAAACGTTATGAAAACATAGCCCGTGAACCATTTCTGAAGCCAAGGAGACAGACTTTGAGGAGGGAAATCCCTCATTAGGTTCTTCTCTAACACATAAGCCATTATCAAACTCAGTACTATATGTGCTGAATCCTCTTCTGGAATCTATTCCTACTATCTATAATATTTTCAGGCCATATATCTCATGGTGTGTGAGTAGGGCAGAAGTCAGTTCTTATAGTTTTGCACAAACCCTTTTAGCCAAAACAGAGATTAACAGCCCCTTTCTGACCCTACTTAAAAACTGATGGATGTGTACGCTCTCCTGGCTTCCTGCCAAAGTGCAGTGTGTACTGGGCGCTCAGAGTTCAAATGCTTTGTTTCCTCATTGTGCTTGGCACTCACAAACAGTATTTTGACAGACTGCTAATGTATGGGTTTCTCATCTATGAAATTAGGGAAATTTGGGATTAGGGTGCGTGGCAGGAATAGGGGCTGTGAGGAGGCCACAGCAGTACTGGGGACGCAGCCAAGTGCAAACCTTGCTAATAACAAAAACTGATGCTTTTTCATTAGAGGTTAAGCAGAGTTATCCAGGAGTCTTTCTGAGAGGCACAGGTCCCCTAGGAGCCAGCAAACCCTAAGATGGATCATTCGCTAAGATGGAGAGGAGATGTACAGCCATGAAACAATAACAACAAAACAAAGCAAAGCAAGCAAACAAACAAAAAACTCTGCAAGAAAATCCCGATGCCTGTTCACATCTTCCTCTTGCCACTTTGAGAACACCAGGCCAGAACTGATAGGACTCAGGGAAGCTGTCTTTACATTAGTCTTGACATAGTCATTTACTAATTGATATCTGAAACTCTGCTAATAGCTTCCACGTTCTCTGGGTTACTTAGAAAACAAAACGAGATAATCAGAGAAACTGCTACTCCTCCAAATAGAAAATCATTCTTATTAAAATTTGAATGTTTGGAGATGGTGTCTTTTATACTATGTTTTAGCACCATGCTAAGTTGTGTAAGCAGAACAATTAATCACTGAATAATGACTATAATTTTATGAGTTATAAATAGTAAATATTGCACTTATTACTCAATACCTTCCATATGATTCAAATCTCTTAAAAACGAGAAAGTCAAAAATAAGAAACACCCATGTGGTATAAAATTTCACAAAATAAGTTGGACTTTGGTGAAAGTGGAATATATCTACAACTTATATTATTTATTTTATGAATGTCGTTGCACAGTATATGATCTAGGAAATATTATTGAAATTTGTGTCTCCAAATCTGGATATATGTACTTAGGTGGAAACGGAAAGGGGAATAGCAGAAAAAGGATAATGGGAGGAAGTGGGGGAGGGGAGAAGAGGATGCTTATACTTAAAATCAGTCTTTCCAGAATTTCTTACTAGACTCGAGGCTGTTTTCAGCATGTGGTCTCTGGCCTGGCGTTATTTATGATGTCCCTTCTTACAGGTCATTCACGTCTGCGTTCCTATTCTCCATTGAGGTTCAAGTGACCATCGGATTTGGCGGGAGAATGATGACCGAGGAATGCCCTCTGGCCATCACGGTTTTGATTCTGCAGAACATTGTGGGTCTGATCATCAACGCGGTCATGTTGGGCTGCATCTTCATGAAAACGGCCCAGGCCCACAGAAGGGCGGAGACTCTGATTTTCAGCCGCCACGCTGTGATCGCGGTCCGCAACGGCAAGTTGTGCTTCATGTTCCGGGTGGGTGATCTGAGGAAGAGCATGATAATTAGTGCCTCGGTGCGCATCCAGGTAGTCAAGAAAACAACGACGCCCGAAGGGGAGGTGGTGCCGATTCATCAGCTGGACATTCCAGTGGATAATCCCATTGAGAGCAATAACATCTTCCTAGTAGCCCCTTTGATCATCTGCCATGTGATTGATAAGCGTAGCCCCCTGTATGATATCTCAGCAACCGACCTTGCGAATCAAGACCTGGAGGTCATAGTGATTCTGGAGGGTGTGGTGGAAACCACTGGCATCACCACGCAGGCTCGGACCTCCTACATTGCCGAGGAGATCCAGTGGGGACATCGCTTCGTGTCGATTGTGACCGAGGAGGAGGGAGTGTACGCTGTGGACTATTCTAAATTTGGTAATACTGTGAAGGTGGCTGCCCCAAGATGCAGTGCCCGGGAGCTGGATGAGAAGCCTTCCATCCTGATTCAGACCCTCCAAAAGAGTGAACTGTCACACCAGAATTCTCTGAGGAAGCGCAACTCCATGAGAAGAAACAACTCTATGAGGAGAAACAACTCCATCCGGAGGAATAACTCTTCCCTCATGGTGCCTAAGGTGCAATTCATGACTCCAGAGGGAAACCAGTGCCCATCAGAATCATGACGGCAGGATGATTCTGAGACTGTCACTCTGAGTTCTGATGACTGACAACCCTAAGACTGTCACTCTGAATTCTAATGACTGACAACCCTGAGACAGTACCATTGAGTTCTGATGTCTGACAGCCCTGAGACAGTTACTCATTGAGTTCTGATGACTGACAACCTGAGACAGTACCATTGAGTTCTGATGTCTGACAGCCCTGAGACAGTTACTCATTGAGTTCTGATGACTGAATATTAGACTGAGCACCAAGATAGAGTTGGAATGCAGTATTCATAGTTTAATGCACTGAAAAATGTTTCATATTCAAGAAATAGAACTTCCTGTATTAATAAACAATAACACTCAATGCAGAAGACTCACGGCTCACACTTGTTTCACACACAGAATGTCACTGTGACATGTTAAAGTTATTGAATAGAACACAGAAGGTATTCATGGGTCTCATTTTTGAAACACAATTTAAGATTGGACCTGGAATTCCACACCTGGCCAAGGATTGAGTCTGTCTGAAACATGTAATTGGTGAGCTCACGACTATGCTGTTTCTACTGCTCATTCTACACCTGCAGATAGAATGGGAAGGGGAATGCTCCAATCACATTAAGTACCTTTTGTATGTCAAGCTTATTCTTTTTTCATGATGCTGTATGTGGTAGAAAGCATAAAGAAAACCTCTTACATCTGTCTGCTTCTAAGCAGTATTTGATCAATCACTAATCCTATACATTGACTTCTATGTACAGTTTGTTGGGTAGAACCGGGCAAGAGTCCACAGAATAGCTGAGTCCTTGCTCTTGTTCAAGTGTTTTCTCAACTTTCTCCAAAAAAAAAGTGTATTGAATATTTTATTAAAACATTTCCTTTATACTCACTGTGTGGTTTTGTGAGTCCCCTTACACAAAATTATCTCACATCCAAAACCCCAAGGAAGACATCTTTAGAGGCACGGAACCACACAGTGATGAAACCATCTTCTAAGAGTACATTCTCAGATCTGTGGCCAAATAGAATTACAGGTTTATTTGACTTTTGGTCTGACAATATTATTTTTGATATTTATTTCTGAGTTTGAGATGGCATGGGAACCTGAGCTCTTTATCTCTGAATCCCCTATGTCTTGTCTTAAAACTGTATTTCCTTCGTAGCAGTCTCCATAGTCGGTCAACTGACCTACATAGGTGAGCATTTTGTCACTAGCTAAAATGAGATCTTCTACCAAAGCATGATTTCATCATCCTTAGCTCCTGCATCTTCAAGTAAGGGAAGAGTAGAGAGATGTTCTAGGTTAGCTCAGGGTGTGATATAATAAAACCTGGAAGTTGGGCATCTGTGTAGCTTTTTACTCAGAGTTTGGGATTTGAATTTATTTCTTACATGAGCAATTCAACCACATGAGTCATGATGAATATATTGAAATTTAATTTTAAAAGACTCATGATTCTTACCAAGTGAATAGCAACTGTTGGGTTAAGTTATTTATTCTTAAGAATGTTCAGACATGGAACTCTAGACTCACAGATCAAACAGGTACTTGAAGCTCTGCTTGCCTGTTTAATAAAACACTCAAAACATACTCGTGTCTTTAGAAGCCAAGGCTTCTGGTGTAGGAATGTAGCTTCAGGTGAGTGAATTCTTACCCAGCATATACAAGGTCCTGGGTTTGGTTCCCAGGACCTCACAGCATAAACCAAACACGATGGTGCAACACCTGTAATCCCAACCTTAAAGGTTGAGGCAGGAGGATCATAAGTTCAAGTCATTCTCAGCTACATATCAAGTCTGAGGTCAGTCTGGACTACACCCCACACATAAAAAAAAGAAAGAAAGAAAGAAAAAATGAACAATCCCCCCATACACAGAATGCTTTATTCACACTCAAAAAATCCATTCCTCTCTCCAGTCTTCTTATCATTCAGACCAACACCTGAGATCATACTTGATACCTTTTTTATACCTACTGTGTGTGCCTTTTTTATACCTACTGTATGTGCCTTTTTTATAACTACTGTGTGTGCCTTTTTTATACCTACTGTGTGTACCTTTTTTAAACCTACTGTGTGTGCCTTTTTTATACCTACTGTGCCATCCACTAGCAAATATACACATTCAATATATATTCAGTATGTAATTGTTTCTTTCTATTACCTCCTTCCTCCTCCAGTTAGTCCTGCTTCCCACAGGGTGTACATGAAATTTTTGTTTACCTTTTATATTATTGAAATATTGAGAAATTTCCTTAGAAATCACCGAAGAAAATATGCCTTCACCAAACAGTCTAATAGGAATTGCAGCCCCTATAGCAGTTCTTGGGAAGGTTTGTCATCTTAATAGCCCAAGGCAGCTAAACAAACCCAGTAAGCAGCTGCTACTCTGGCCACAGGCACATGGACAGTGCTGCCTGCTCTTCAGGAAAAGCACAGTGTTCCTGAAAGGGCACCAGCTGCAGGGCAGCAAATGCTGGACACAGTTAGTGAAGGCGTGGTGTAGGATTTCTGAGTCCCCATGATTCAGAATGCCCTAGAACCAGAACATGGTCAGTTCTGGTCACTTGTCATTGCTTGATACCAAGGACCCAATGACCGTCACAGTGATGGTGGGTCCAGGGAAGGTCATGACTTAGAATGTGATGCTATTTAGCTAAGAACAGCCACATCAAACAAATGATAACGAAACAACCTCTAAAAATCCAGAAACCTTTTAGAATTAACAAGCTCCTATGACCTAGTTTTGCTAAACTGTATTCACTGCATTAGACAACAAGAATGTCATGGCTGTGATAGCTGAGTCTGTAGAGAACTTGAATCTGTAATGAACTTGAGAAAGCATTGGTATGTAAAATGAAAAAAAAGATTGTTTTCTTTTTAAAAAATAAAAAAGCATATTTAAAAGTCTCGTTGATGACATACTCTTGTAATCCCAGTGTGCTGGAGGTCGAGCAGGCAAATGGCAGACTCACTGGTCAGCCTGTCCAACATACTTGATGAGCCCCAGGTCAGTGACAAACCCTATTACAGGAACAAGGTAGATGGTGTCTGAGGAACCAAGCACCTCTAGTCCCTGTGTGTATGGGAGAGTGTACTTGTGCACATTGTCCTCTTGTGCACACACACACATGCACACACACACTGTACTATTTGTTTTCTCTCTCTTTATGTGCATATAATGTTATATGAATTTATATGTATTTATACTTAAGTTTAAATACTATTTTATATTCAATATTTAGAGTTTTTCTTTCCATTCAAATCTTCATTCAGCAGCCATAATTTTTCAAGTCATAAATTGTGTTATGCTATACCTCTTTTTAAAAAACCTACGGCTTTCCATTTTCTCAAGATGAAAATAAAATTCTTTTTCAAGAACCATAAACTACTATGTGTAATCATGAGCACTTTTAATTACATTGATTTCTCTGTTCTTTGGAGAGAGGGTTGTTTTTGGTGTCTGGTTGGGTGGTTGATGGGTTGGTTGATTTCTGTAGTGTGTATGTGTGCGTGTGTGCGTGTGTGTGTGTGTGTGTGTGATTACCCTCTATATGCTGTGAATACCATTAGTTAGTAAAGAAACTGTCTTGAGCCTGTGAGCTTGTGATAGGGTAGAATAGAGATAGGCAAGGAAAACTAAACTAAATGCTGGGAGAAAGGAAGTAGGGTCAGGGAGAAGCCATGGAGCTACAGCTAGAGACAGACATATTGGAACCTTTTTGGTAGCCACAAGCCTCATGGTAAAATATAAAATAATGGAAATGGGCTAAATTAAAATGTAAAAGCTAGCCAATATGAAGTTAGAGCTAATAGGCCAAGCAGTGATTTAATTAATACAGTTTCTGTGTGATTATTTTGGGGCAGAGCAGCAGGGACAAAGAAATGACCTCTTACTAAGTGTGTGTGTTACAAAGTCTTACATTGTAGCCTATGCTGACCTGGTATTTGTTATGTAGCCGAGGCTGTCATTAGACTCACTCAATTCTTTCAATGATTGCAGTTCCCAAGGAGGCCAGGGGAGGTCTTCAGATCCCCTGGAAACTGGAGTTACAGATGGTTGAGAGCCCTTATTTGAGTACTAGGAACTGAACCCAGGTTCTCTGCAAGAGCAGCCAGGGTTCTTTACTGCTGAGCCATCTCTCTAGCTCCAGGAGTAATCATTTAGTAAAGAAAACAGTGAATACTTAAGCAACATTTCTACCATGAATAGCAGAATGTGTGTGATTATTCAATACAAAGTTCTCTTTCATCTTGATTCCTTTTTGAAATCACTAAAAACAATCACATTTCTTTAGGGGAAATTTCCTCTTTTTAACCTTTTGTTACAGAGAAGTTTAAGCACATTCAACAGTGGAAGTATTACTATAGTGAACCCTGCACACTCATCACTTGCCTCACTAATGGTGGTATATCTCTGGCTACTTTTCACCTGTTTTTCCTACTCTATGATATATCTCTGGCTACTTTTTATCCGTTACCCCACTCTGTGGTGGTTTGGATGTAAAATTCCCACCATGGACTCATGAGTTTAAACTCTTGGTCCCTAACAGGGATTGGAAGGTTGAGGAAACTTTAGAAAAGTGTTTCTCAACCTGTGGACCATGACCCCTTTGGGAATGGAATGATCCTTTTACATGGGTTACATATCAGATGGCCTGCATATCAGATATTTACATTATGATTCATAACAGTAGCAAAATTACACTTATGAAGTAGCAGCAAAAATAATCTTATGGTTAGGGTCACCACAATATAAGGAACTATATTAAAGGGTCACAGCATTAGGAAGGTTGAGAACCACTACTTCAGAAGGGAGTGCCTATAGGAGTCACTAGAAGCCAGTCTTGAGGTTTGATAGAATAGCCCTACTCCCTGTCTGCTGTCTGCTTCCTAAGTATGGATGCACTGTGACCAGCCACTTCATGCTGCTACTGCCAGGCCTTCCTCATCACCCACAGAGGCCAGATCTGGGTACCAGAACTCCAGAAGTGCCACGTGTGCTCTTGTCACTGAGCTGCCTCTCCAGTCCGAGTGAAATTCCTGAACCGGAAACTGGAGATGGCTTATTGGCTTTTGTTCAAAGTCATTGAATTGAAAATTAGGCTCATGGCCACTGGGACAGCAGATGAGGAATGTCAAGTCTATAGCTGCATGGTCAAGTTCCCAGAAAAGCAAAAAGTGTAGCTATGAAAGGGGCCTGGGAGGAGAGGGCAGCCATTCCTCTTTTGTCACCACATGTTTAAGACAAACACGGTGATAAATAGTCTAAACACAGGAACAGGGAAAGAGATTTAGATGATTTTATAAAGTTACAATGAAATAACTATAAGGAGAAGTGGGGAAGAAATGAAGGGAGAGATTTGAATGAAGACACAAAAGCACAGTTTAGTAAAAGTAGAGAATGTTAGCCTTAGTAGCTTGCAGGTCTGTATAAAACACTAAAAAGAGATGTGGTATTCAGTGAACTTGAAGAGCTGCAAGGTGTTGGGAATGAAGCTGAGAAATGAACCCAGGCAGCCATAGCAGAGTCCAACTAGAAAAGCCTTGGCTGTCGTTCCTGAAAAAGATGGCCTTTCTCCAGCGGTAGATGTCAAGTATTTGAAGCCTTTTGAGAACTGTGTTGAACTATATATATGTAGCATTTTTAACAGAGAGGTGGACCACGACTTTAATTTTGCTTGTGACCGTTTCATCCTTCTTTTCGTCAACGCGCACTGAAGCAATCCAGTAGTCTGTAGATATTTAGCTTCAGGTTGTGTGTGTAGGTGTGTACACATGTTTGCATATGAAGATGTGTTCACATGGTGGATGTGTACAGGCACAAATATACATGTCAAAACCAAAGATTGATATTGGGTATGTAAGTACTCACTATTTTATTTT